TTATTATTATTATTATTTTATTTCAATTATTAAACTGTTTTTATCTCAACCCATGAGTTTTTCTAACTTGTGCTCTTCCAATTCTCTCCCCCATCCCACCGGGTGGGGGGGAGTGAGCGAGCGGCTGCATGGTGCTTAGTTGCCAACTGAGATTAAACCCAGACAGCCTCAAAGGAAATATAGTGATAGCTCACTTCTGTAACTTTTTTTTCACCATCTTCTTTTTTAAACCAAGCAAGCTACAGAATTTTAGTTCATGATGAAATTTATTGCAATTGTATAAATTTCAATAGTATACAGTATTTTTTTTTGAGAAGGAAACATCAAGGGCACACTGCACATAATTCTTTTCAAATAATCTTTTCCTTCTGGTCCTAACTAAGTTATTTCTTTCAAGTTCTGTGATACAATGAACTGAAGTGAACTAGCAAATCTAAAATAGATTTTAATCATATTTATAAGTGTCACCATAAATCCATGGCAAAAACACTGAATCTGCTTTTTTTGTGTGTGTGTGATTTATTTAGAACACAAAAAGTCCTACAGAAGTCTTATTTAGATACTATGAAAAAAAAATTCAGAAATTTTTATGAAAGCCAGAAGGTCTTTAAGAGACATTAAAGATTTCTTATTTATTATGCTGTCATTATGCTTATATTTCTTTTAACTCCCTTGTTCATTAAGTTCATGAGTACAAAGTCACTTGGTTTTGGCTACCTTGCCAAAGGAGTGGACCAGAAGGGACTTACAACCTGGTAGCCAGTTTCAGATAATTTTTTTTTTTTTAAGAATTTAACTTTGTCGCTGATCGTTTTGGTTCAAGGATGAGCCAAGACTGGTTAGCCAAGATGGCCATTTTCCCATTTTGTAGGAAAGAAAATTAAGTTGGAAGTTTGTTTCCAAGTGCTTCCTTCATGCTTTGAAGAAATGTTGGTAACTATTGGTATGTATTTTCTCAGGCAAATAAAGAACAAGTGAAGCAGCACTTTTCTAAGCCTTTCCATGTCCCATGATTTACTTCATGTCAATAGTTTTCCCAGGCAAAGGCTTACTCTGATCAGGATGGAGTCATGTGGCTGTTTGTATACTCTTTATTAAAGCAAGCAGCAGAATGAGAAGCACCGCCATATCTTTCAGAGCACATACTATGAAAATATTTTCTTCCTTACACTAAATTGCTCCTGCCTTATACTCTTTGAAGAACCAGACATACAGACACCTCTACTTCTTTAGTGTATAAGAAAATATACCGGTATTTTCTGAGAGATACAGATCACTAGTAAATATTTCTTGTCTATCTCTCAATAGTTCTCTCACTGCCAGTAGGGAAAGAGTTTTAAGAACTTTTCTTTCTTTTTTAACAGATTCAACAGGTACTACAGGCAATGAGAATAGGTACCATACAATATTTTGTGTCTAGCCAACAGTGAATTTTGTCTAGCTATACAACAAACATTTTACCTCTGAGAAAACTGTCCTCTCCTAAAGGGAAAGATGACACTGATACCATTTTACAGACTGTTGTGAGCCTAATTATTTTTCTGCAACAGTGAAGTAGCCAAAAATTGAGTGAGGAAAAACAAAAAAACACAGCAGAAAGAAGAATTTTATATTTATTCTCTATTGCTTTCTACACTTTTCTCCACTTCATAAAGTGAAATTCTTTTATGCCAATAACTTCTCTAGTATCTACAGATGCTATCCCAAATACTTTTCATTCTGTCTGTGTATTCATGCTGTCCCTGGTATTTCATGTCTTTGGTCATGATAAAAAACCCAAATATAGATTTTGTGTAATTGCTGTAAATTGCAACAGATCTACTTTAGCTTGATTAATGAATATTATTATCCTGTAAAAATGGGTATTATATAATAATTCTATAAAAGCAATTATACAAAAATCAAGCTTTGTTAAGTATCATCTTCACGCACTATTCATAAATATGTTCATTTGAATTAATATCACACACAATGTTGGCTTTTTTGACATACTAATTGATCTCTTCTAATATGGTTTGCTGCTTCTGTTGAACCTTAAATTAAAGAGTTCAATCCTTCAGGGTCTCACATTTTTCCACCTTATAGCTGCTCACTCCTGCCTTGTTGCCACCTCTTCCTCTGTCCCACTAAAACTGTTAATGATGAATTGCATAAAGATCCAGTATAAAGAACAGAGGCACATGAGTGCAAATAAACGTTGGGAGGGAGAAGAGGGAAGCTGCTTTTTTATCTTTAGTACTGGTTTATGCCATTTTAAAGTCCTGTGAAACATTTGCTTAAATCTCTATAGAGCACATGTGTTTCATATATCCTACTTAAGGTGTGTGGCGTTTTTTTCCTCACAAGATCAGTATCATCACGTTCGTATATAAAACAGATTGGATTTCCTTTCAGTCTGGACAATTAATGTTACAAAATATAGCTTACATTACCCTTTTCACATAAATAAATATGTTCCATATTGAAATTTTATACACATTAAAGAACATTTGATTTACATACCTATATATCTTATCCTGAAACCTTTTTTATTGGTGCCATGATCTGCCGACCACCGGAGAAATACTTCATGGCCATTGCTGGTTATATTTAGAGAAGACGAATAGTCCCCACTGAGAGAAATGAGCAATGGGCTATGACTATTTGGTCCTTGATACAAGGAAGAGACAAAAAAAAAAAAAAAGAGTTACAAAGTTTAAAATAACACACAATAAACTATATGCATACAATTAATATACGTAGAAAACATCCTCCAAGCAAATGGTAAATTAAATTATTTCTAAACATAGTTAATACAGTACAATTTTGAAACACAGTAATCCAACAGTTCTTTTTAGCACAACAAATCCAAATAATTGCTTATTTAAGATTTTTTAGTGTTCAGTTGCCGACTGAGGTTAAACCACGACAACTGACAAATGATGGTATGCATAAACAATAACGATTACACAGATGCAATGTAAAAATACACATATAGAGAAAAAGTATCATCCAAAGTTGTGCATCCTATAGTTACCATCAAACACCTCAAGTATATCAAATTCCTTTTCTGTCTGGAAGAATTCGAAGAACATGCTGATATTATAACCCTTTTCCACAGTAATGGTCCACGCACACATCTGGAGATTTGGGTAGCTGTCAGGATATCCAGGGCTCAGTATTACTCCTGTTGAATCCAGACGCATTTCATTGGCTGGACAGAGCACTGTGAAACAGAAAGATTGGTAAAAAAATCTAAAGCCCACTATTTGTTTCACGTGATTGGCAAGATTTTCCTGAGTTTAAAAGATCTGCATAACTCATTTTATTTCCATAAATACAGAAAGACTGACCACATATTAGAAACAAAGTCAGTTAGTAGAAAAAAAATCTAAAGTAATGTTTCTCTTGAAAATAAGCCCTGCAACCCTCAGAAGTTATCAATTCATGACATTATTCTTCTTTCATTCTCTAGAAGATAAGACATTCTTGTAGGCTGTGCTTAAGTACTAAATTGTTGCATTGTTCAAACAGTGAACCATAGACTTTTTTTTTCCCCTCAGATTACTATTACCGTCAGCAATAATGCCAGGTAAAGTCTTGCACTGAAAGCAAAACTTGAAGACACTGTGATTTTTGGTTGTCAGTTTCTAAATAAAGAATAATCAATCCCTCCCACAATCTGTATAAAGAGCACCTAAATTTTGAGGTCCTCAATCAAGCTCCAAGAACGTTGATGTACCTACACACAATGTAAGCACTATTCAGACATGGTGCCTTTGGTCTAGAAAATAAAAGACACACTTCAGGCTGACATTTTGTTGCTAATTAAACAAGTACTAATTAAACAAGAACATGACTTGTGCTAATCCAGTTACCTAGTTTTTAGATCCACAGAAACCTCAGAAAATGCTAGGTTATTGCCTTTATATGCAATAAAAAACACTTGAAATACTATTTTTCCTTCACCACACCTAATACAATCCCATTTCTTTCCTATCTCTTACTAAAAGATGCAGCAGAGTTCTTAAAATCAAAGCCTATGACTAGCAGTCAAGACATTGGTGTTATAATCCTGAATGAGCTAGAGAATCTCAGGCTGACTTTGGGCAATTCATCTAATTGCTCCTCCTTTTAAAAACAGGTACAACAGTTCACCATATAACAAATATTTTCGGAGGAAATAAAAATCAGATTAGGAGGGAAAAAAAAAGGCGATTTCTGCCCCACTTAAAAGTAAAAATCCAAATATCACCCTGATATTTATTTATTTATTTAAACTCCATATTTCTCATCATCCTTCAGTTCTTTGGTAAGCATAACAGATGTGTAACTGTGTCATATATGTTATGTGCATATTGAATCTATATCTACAAACCACTTCCTTTTTATTAAATCTTTGTATGAGATATTTTTGGTTATACATTCACATTTCTATTGAACTCTCAAGTTCAGACAACCGGATACTTTCCTCCTTCTAACACAGAGACAGACTATTTCCCTGATGAGTAGATGTAAGTCAGCTGAAGAAGAAATTATAAAAATCTGAAGTTCTTAATTGCTGACAGCCTTTTTCCCAAATTTAACTCTAGGAAGTAAGAAAAGAAACATACTTTACCCTTTTCTCTAAAATATTGCTGGGAGAGGCTAGACCCCACAACATAAGAGGGATATTTCCTGCAGGGATAAAAGACGACACCTGCTCCATCCCTGCTGACTTCTTCAGCAGGTATTGCCTATCATACCTTCACCTTAATCTAAATAATTATTTTTTCTTATATTCCACATCATATTCTGAAGTTATTAATCTTCCACTTACAGCTGTGCTGGAAAACCTGATTTAGTTGAAGATGTCCCTGCCCATGGCAGGGGGGTTGGACTAGATGACATTTAAAGGTCCCTTCCAACCCAAACTATTCTATGATTCTATGATTCTATGAAAATACATAGTAGCTCTGGCTATTCTTAATTGTCATAGTTTCAGGAGGGATAGAGGATGCTAGCAGGATAAATGCTACTTTGTAAGTTATCACCACTATTTAAAGTAGCTGCTGAAATTGGGCAAAATGGTGTTTAAAAGTATGATGAAGAGGCTTGATTTTTAATTTATCTGGATTCACTAGATCTACACAGAATAACAATCTCATTAAATAAAAATATTTGATATTACCATGTTACTGGAACTTTTTTCAAGAACTGGTTTTGCTTCATGATATATGAACTAGTGCCTACAGTTTATTCAGAACAGAGCACTGCTAAACAGGAGCCTTAAAAATCTGGGGTTTATATTCAAAACTAACACTTACATGAAAGTGAGTTAGTACTGAGCCATTACAAGTTACACAAAAAAATAATAGGATCTTAGATTTCTCAAGAACATTGAAAATAATATTGGCTTATTAAATACAAAGATCAGATTTTTATGGGGAAAAAGTCATTGGACTATGAAGAGAGACAGAGAACACAGAAAAGCAGAGGAAGAGAGAGAAAAAGAACGATCATCTTCATAAACAAAACTCATAAGAATCATAAATCATAGAATGGTTTGGGTTGGAAGGGACCTTTGAAGGTCATCTAGTCCAACCCCCTGCCATGGGCAGGGACATCTTTCACTAGATTAGGTTGCTCGAAGTCACATCCAACTAGACCTTGAAAACGAGAAAGGAATCTGTCCATATATTTTTAAATAGTCATCTCTCACTTTCAAAATTAACATCTAATTGCTAAATTTAAATAGTTGTTTCTCATGCCCTGTATTTGTCTCAATTAATCAAGAAGAGATTGAATATAACACCTCCACTCCACATGAGAAAACTTATAGGGCTAGAATCTGACTGTCAAACTACAGTGCTGGACCAGTTGTGATACAGACTTTATCTCAAGCAAATGAAAGAACTGATCTTCTCAAGCTTTATATGTACATACATATATATATAAACACACAGAGAGAGGTGTGGCAGGAAGGCAGGAAGAGCATCGCAGTCATCTGGCTGCACTAGGTTATTTACAGCTAGTTTTGCTATCTCCATGTGGTTCTGCTTTGCAAACTTTCCTCAATTTCAGGATCTCCAGGTAAACATCCTTCAGGAATTTTATAGAGAGCTTAAAGACTTATTTCTGTACAATGTATTCCCTTGGGAATCGGGTAGCTAATTTTTTTATGAATCTGAGCTAATGTAGCTGAGATATAGCTGAGAGTCATCATTCAAGAATTTTCTCAAGGTCCTCTAATTATCATGCAAAATACAGTTTGAATCTTCTTACTCTGAAGCTTTCATTTTATCCTGAAAGTAGAAGCTAATTTCAAGGAAAATTAAGGGCAAAGTTACATGCGGCGTATGGGGAATACTCTATTTTAACAAAAGAAGATGATAAGCATTGGCATAAGCTTGGGGATGTTAGTGATTATTTTCTAATCTAAAGAAGAAAATCTTCAAGAGTTTTAAGAAATGGTCATCCAACTGATACACATCAGAGAAAAATAGAAAAAAAAGCAACATAGTTTTAAATAGTACTAAATCTGGTGTATACTAACCTGTAACAATTAAAATCACCAAATAAAATCTTAAATAGATTTTGCTTCAATATTTTCTCCTAGGGATACCTCGTTATTGACTACCATATCTTTACTGCAATACATTAGATTCAAAACTAAAATATTGCTATTTAACTTCTGTTCAGCAGCACTCTTCAGATTCAATAAATAAATGAATGTTGAATTTGGGTATTAATTTATTTCAAGTTAAAAATTGAAACAAAATTTAATGAAAACACATTTAACAGTGGCTAAAGTGTCTAACGTATGCACAAGGTTAAGGCAACAGAAGTTAACACTATGAAGTCTAACAATAAACATATGCTCTGCCTGGTGAAAAGTATTAGTAAACTAATACAAATATGAACTAATGGAAGATCTGAGTTTATTCCTTGAGAGTGGTGACTTTTAAATATATTATAGCCTGCACAATTAAAGTATGTTAGCCTATACATAAACCAGTGTAGTATAATAAAATCACAAAAGACATAAATTTTAGGCATATAATTTTGCTGCCTCTAGATTCCACAAAGCTCTCTATTGATCTCAGTTTCAATATTGAAATTTAGCTTACATATTGCTATCTTCAAACTTACACATTATATAAATTAATACAAGAGAAAATTATGTTGCTGATTATTCTAGGTGGTCAGTTTGAATGGTCATTTTAAACATGTTTTAACTAATTCCTTTGATTCTTTCTTTTTTTTTTTTATTTTCTGAGTCTACTAACTCTGAAGATTATGTTAATTTAATTCAGCTTTAGACTGAAATTATAAAAGCACTGATTTAATATTTAGCATTTGATCCAATTTTTAGCATTTATATGTGACAGAGAAAAGATTACCTATGGTAACTGAAGTCATCATTCCTGAGTTTTTGTCTTGGGTTTTGCAATGAATATAAATATGCCTTCAGCAACACATGCTGAGAGAATGCCTCAGGATCAGCACATATGTCTGTTTGTCCTATTTATTATTACATCATTATAACATCTAAAGCAGTGCCTGGAGGTTATTATGGTTTTCCACCCATTAAATGCTATGAGACTGCTGAGTTAGGATTTTAATGTAAACTGGGGTGTTGGAAGCTATTCCTAGACACAATTGTACCTAAATAAATGCATGGATTTTCAGAAATTACCAGTGTTAGAGTTCTTATAAAACTCACAGTTCATGATCACTTTGCATTTTTAAGAACTAGACTTACTGCTACAAATGATTTTGACATTTGCATAGTTTTGTGAATAAAACCAGGGGAAAATAGTTTATTCAGCAGTAGTAGTTGACCTTTCCAGTTTTTCAGGAATGCAGGAAAAGGGTATATTTATAAGACAGTAATTTTTCAACTGTCAGCTGAAAACTGAGTTGAACATTGTAGTCATAATTAAGTTCTAAAAATTAGTATACTGAAGTTTAAATTTGTAACAGCTAAATTGTGCATCAGTTTGAAACTTGACAAATTACTAAGAAAGTCAAATATTAAAGCTTTGCTTGTAAAAGTAGTAGATTTATTCACAATTAATTTACTATTTCCAAATAAATCTTTCATCATGAGTGTTTTATAGATATGCTAATTAATTAAAATTGCAGGGGGGACACACAACATCTGATTGGTAGAAAACCCAGACAGCAGTATTTTTCATTTAATACAAATGTAAATCACCTGCATTTATTATGACTGATTTGGGCAAGTATTTTAATCTTGCAGTAGATGTTAGAATATTAAGCTCAGGAGTAGATGGATCATGAAGGAATATCATAACAACTAGCAGCATTCAAAATGGCTTTTGTTTACCTAAATTATACTTTTATGAGGCTGTGGGGTTTTGGTTTTGGTTTTTTTCCCCTCAAAATGTCTTATAATACATATTTATAACTGTATGTCCTTATTTATCTTTCTGGAAATAAATGGAAGAATTAGTAAGAAAACATAAACACTGAAACTTTAAAGAGGTTACTTTTTTTTTTAAATAAATCATGTGCAAGGTTTATCTCCATTAGCTCCCTAATTGGTTCGGTATGAAAGAAAACTCTCGCATTTTCTTAAAAAAATGGTGGAAAAATTCTGTTCTAGTATAACACATCAAATGTCAGCTTAATATAGACTGGTTTAAACTGTGATGTTAGTGGTTGGCAGGATTGTAATCTTGTTTCGACCTTAACAATGAGTAGTGTTATATTTCTCTATTCAGAGTTTTCAATAAAAGGAGGAAAACATGAACACACACATACAGAAAACCTATTCTTTAGAATACACTGAATAAAAATGGAAGCACTTAAAGTTGCACTGAAAAATGATGTCATCATCTTGTTCACCCAAATCCATACTATGTTAATTTAGCATTTTTTTAAGTTTCCATATAAATTTTCATACTATTATGTTCTAGATAAAATGAAATAATCTCATTATTTATTAAATTTAGACTACCTCCAAAAAAAGAACTGTGAAATTCTTTTAACAAAGTAGAGCAGCAGTCCTTTAAACTCATCAAATTCATTAAAACATTACTAATTATTTTGCATTAATATTTGACACATATTCACCATAACAAACAGTGATAATACTGGGAATAGCATCAAAAGTCTGAAATATTTTCAATGTGCCATCCTATGTAAAGAGATAGTGGAGGGTATTTAAGGAATCACCATTCAGCTGGTCTGGCAGGAGGAAAAGAAAAAGGAGAAAAAACCTTGACAAGTAGGTGGTGCTCCATCCATCTGAAGCCTTTCACCTAGTCGGCATGTCAAAATCTCATTACCAACCAATGTAAAGCCTGGTTGACACTGGTATCTTATTATGTCTCCTGTTTGGAAAAACAAAACAAGACAAACCAGAAACAAACAAAAGAAACATTAAACAGCAATTAACTGGGACTTTTAGCTTTGAAAATATTATTGATTAATGAAGTTTCTTGCCACCAGATATAATGGGCTAAATGACCTCTGGCATAAACAACTTTGATTAGTCTAAGAAATGTGGTAAATGAGCATTGTGTTGCACACTATGCTGCATCTATCACTGTTTTCCACCACATTATTAGCTGGATAGTTTGCAAATTTGTCTGGGTTTAACTGATGTTGTGTGAACCATGTGTCACAAAGCTTTAAGCAATATAATTTATTGGATAACCATTAAGGAACTAAATAAAGAGATAAGATCAAGTCAGTAAACCATACAATCCTGAGGGGAAAAAAAAATAAACAGGAATTGCATTTAATTGATGATATCTAAATTTGTCATGGTAAGAATAAGAAACTGTCATTTTTTAATTAAGAAATTATAATTTCATGTAGTTTTATGTACCAATAAAAGTAAAAATTTGTACATCCCAGAAGTTCTCTTCGGTCCAGATTACAGAGCGGGGGGGGAAGTCTTTTCTCTTTGTTACCAATATAACTAATCAAATATTGGTATATATTAAAAATAAATTTATTTTTCTTTTCCATAATGTGAGCAAAACTAGCTGGTTTAGACATGTGATGTCAGATCATGTAAGTCATATTTCTTTGAATGACAGGTGGTTAAGTAATATTATTAACATGTCTTAGAAGGTCAGAATATCATCCTCTTCTCAGATCCTCCTAATTTTTACAAAGATGATTTTACCCTTCAGTTCACAGAACCTTAATTCTGGTACAGAATATACCATTGTCCACAAGTTTTTTTGTGGGTTTTGTTTGTTTGTTTCAGTATAAAACAATGTTTTATATTAAAAATTATGAAAAATGTTTTTTAAAATTGAGCTATTAGAAAGGAGTTACTGTGTTACTTATATGTGATGTCTGAAACATAGATGGAATTCATGAAGTAAAGGGAAGAGGAATGACTTAAAAATTTCATTTTCAAATCTAACATATTACAGGCATGATTTGCATCCTGAAAAGCAAGAATTTTCTGTGCATAGCACTCCTTTTTTTTGAAACAAATGTTGCTTTTATTTTCTCTTATATTACCTATTTCGAATTCATCGTCCTCAGTTAGAATTTCAGCATTTGGTATATTTGCTGGAGGCTGGCAGACCCGGAGCTGATAGGCTATAAACAGGAAAAAAGCACAGTTGACATTCCCATACTTAGACAGTTAACATAGCTATGCAAACATAGCTGAGTTAATTCCCACATTAACAGGATAAAAAGAAACATCTATTCATTTACTTTGAAACTTTCAAGAGAATCAAAAGAAAGGAAACATATGAATTTCAGAATTAATGAAAAATTGGAAGTTGCATCTGTGTTCTTAATTAGTTATTTAATTTCAGTGGCAAAACCCTCTTCATAGATAACCTAAGAAGCTTAGAAGTGGTTGCCAATTTTCTCACTTAAGTGATTTCGTCTGACTAGCAAATATTTTCTTGTATTGTACAACCGTTGTTTTGTTTCTTTTGGGTTTTTTTACAATACATTTTTACTGCTGAATTCTTCCACTTTTGAAACTTTCTAATAAATACAAATTTTAGAATCCAAAAGATTCTACCCAGAGGCAGCATAACTGATGGACATAAGCATTATGAATGTGAAATCTCCCAGTAAATGAATAGTTGTGGAGCACATCTCACCTGCAGAGAATAATTCTTCTTTCAAACTTCTCATTTGAAGTCTCACATGAAATATTTTTTTCAGTTTTAACACATGTATGCAACAGCCAGGCAAAATAATTAGGTGAAACAAATGATAAAAAAGACAAGTAGGAAGAGTATGCAGAAGCTGTATAGCTTTTTTTTTTTTACAGACAACCTGTGAGGATGGGCCTGTTTGGACACAGACAAAATTCCCTTCAATCTGAATGCAATTCGGACAGAAATTTGGCCAAAGAAATCACACTGAAGTATTTATACTGACAGTGTAGTTTTCCAAGTTTTAAGGTGTACGCTCAGGTTGATAATGAATCAAGTATGCCTGGTTTTCACTGATATTACATTTTCATATAGCATTGTTTTATAGCATCTCTCATTAGCAAGGAAACATCATCTACTTATGTCAGATGATGATTCAGCTTCAGTTATACACATCTTTTTTACTTCCTGTGCTTGGATCCTTTAGTAATCAAATTGGTCAAACTTTTGCCAATCACAAAATTTGTATTTTATCCAGGTAAGACCTTTGTTGCTACTAAGTCACACATATTTGACATCTTCCTATTCCGTTCCTTTTTGTGGATCATATAATGAAGAGCCAACTAAATCAGTGAGTCAGAAAGCTAACAACCTGCCTTAGGATAAAGTAATTTAAAATAAAACACATCAAGCAAACATGGAACACCTGTGTTACTTGCATTTTTTTAAATAATATTAAAAAATCACCAACATAAAAAATGGATTGAATAAACAATTCATATAATTTATCTCAAATGTCTCTCATTTAGGGGTGTCATTCATTTTAATCCCCAAATTATCTATTTTAAATAAATTTGACTCCTCTCACAGCCTTGCCTTTATTGCTATAAATTGTATGTAGCTGACATGAATGATCACACACTCAAGGACACAGAGATTTATTTATCTTGACAACATCAATCCAAAGTTTCTTCATTAATAATCCTTTGTGCTGCTCAGTTTGCATCTTTATTACACATTAGAGCCCACACTTGTGGAATGACAATTTCCACAATAACAAAAGAAACAAGTACAAGGAGATCAAGTTCTTTAGAGACAATTTATTACTAGGTATCACCATTTTTAAATGTGTTTGGTCATATACTGGTATATTCATATATATCCATACATATCAATTCATATATTGATGAACACAAAGGGTCAGTTTGTCCTTCACAAACTGCTACATGCAATATAGATGCCCAGATTTGGAATGAAAATTCTGACCCCCCTCTGCCCAATCCTACTGGAGTCTATACTCCATAATCAATTCAAGTGCTGTTGCTGCTGTTTTTTAAATTGTGGGATTTAGGTCTTTTTTCTTTTGCTTTGTTTTGTTTAGATTAAAGTTCCTTTAATCCCCCCAGTTCTGTCTATCTGTAGTCACCTTGGTCTTTACTAAGTCAAAAAGAAAGCTTTCTAGTCCTAAAATCTGATCAGGATCCAGAAAACAGATTGTAGTCTGTACATGTTTCCTTGAATAGTCAATCCAACAGGCATTCACAGGGCACCTAAAAATACCCTTGCTTCTGAATCTGTTTCTATCTGAATGATAGGAATGCAAGAGAACACTTGGCCACAGAAGGTTTGAATAACCACAAAAAGATGGCGAACTTGGTGCATTAATACTTATGCATTTTCATTCAGTCAGTATTTAATTCAAAGGTAGTTTAACGATAACTACACACTATAGTTCACTATCATTGAACTCTCTAGAACAAGAGTACTTTCTTCACAATATTCAGATATCTACAAGACATTTAATGACCCCCACAAACATTTAGATTACAAAGGAATTTTACAAGCATTGTAAGCAGTGAGAAGATGAGCACCTTGAACTGCAGGGTCTTGATGCTACCTTCTTTGCTGATGTCTCTTCACAGTGCATTCTTTTTTTGCTTGACTACTAGTAAATTTAATATCTGGTCAAAAAAATAGCTTGTTTTCATTATTCATATTAGTCTTTCATATGTTTTCATTACCTAGTGGTGGTCAGTTATATTAATAATAGCATTATATTAATAATAATAAACTTCTTAGAAAAAGTAATTTAAATTAATTTTTTCATTAATTTTCTTCCTGCAGTAATCAGTACAGACAGTGAAAAAGTGCACGTTGTCACACTTACCGTGGTAACTAAGTACAAAGAAGCCACTGGTAGTAAAGTCACTGTGGAACTTGATCAGAATCTGATTGGAAGTGCTATAGACTGATTCTAATGCAGTATTGCCACTAAATTGTCCAATTTGAGGAGAAGTTTGGTCTGGTCCATCCCTAAGAAAAACAGATACCAAAAGACTTTTTTTCCCAAACAAATAATTTAATGTCTCCAAATTTTAATATAATGTAGTAAAATTTCT